TGATATGCACTTGGCTTGATTAGATAATTATGTTGATATTTTTAAAGGTTGGTAACAAAAAGATAATTGTTATATAGCTGGATTTAATTGTTTATTAATAAGAGGTTTATATTAACGAGATTGAGGGTCAAATGATTATGTATAGAACTTTCGAGTGTTGCTTACAATCACTTCAAGATCAACTCGACAAATTGCAAGCAGAAGAGGAAGGTTTAGGATTTCGATTAAAGACAGTTCATTTAATTAAGGGTTGATATGATTTTAAAAGAAGAAATACGGATATTCAAAAGGGTTTGGTTGATCACTATCGTCGTTTACACGAATACAATGTAATCAAAGATATTGGTCAAATGCTATTTGGAAAAGAGACATCCAACCACTCAAGTCCATTTTTTTAACACACATATATGAATATATTTTTACACACGAATTATAAATGAAGTGTGCTGAATTTGATGATAAAAAGAAATGTATGTGCGGTTTGGATTGATTGAAAATCGGATATATCGATCGTACATTTGGTATAAGACTTGAGTATGTTATGTTTTTACTTTCAAAAATATTGTAGTTTTCAAGTGTATTGCAACATTAACGTTAAATGATTATATATAAGGATGTATTTTTTTTTCAAATTTAACTCCAGTGGTTTATATAATTGCCTGCTTCTTGACTTGTAAAATGTAATCGATTTGAATTCTCTGTTTATTGAATCTATAATCGAAGATTGGTTTAAGACTATAGTCGAGAATGTTTCCATCATGATTGACATACCATGATATTTATATGTATTATACGCTATAAGTTGAATTCGACCAGCTGAAGTTAATTTTCTTGTTACTTTAAACATCAAATTGGTTGTGTTGATTTTAAAGTCGTTAGTCGTTCTATAATGCAAGTTTTATCTATCAAACATATACTTAGTTAAAATCTATAATGCCAATATTTCAATTTCTCGTAATGACCGATAAAAGTACTTCAATTAGATTTGACACTTTATTTCGAAATAACTCGCAAGCAGTTTCGCGACTAACATTAATAAAATTTTTTACATTTAAATATTTTAAAGTACACGTTTAAATTTATTAAATAAATTTATTTATTTATTAAATAATTCATTAATTTATTAAATAATTTTATTAATTTATTAAATAATTTATTAATTATACAATTAAAAAAACTATATATAATAAAATTTTATATACTAAAATATACTAAACTAAATAAACGTTAATAAAAAAAGGTTGAGATACTTGGTTTCAGAGATTATATCTCCTACTTATCCCAACCACCACGCAAAGGTGTATCTCATTGGTTGGGAAAGCTCACCCCCCCAACCGGGTGGTCAAGAAAGCGAACTCCAACCCATCTCTCCTACACCGGTACTAGTCGTGGCTCGGTTCCCGGCTTTGGTTGGGTTGTTCCCTTGAATCATCAATACTCTTCCGTATTTCATCAAGTAGCTTTAGCTCAAGTTATCCTCTAAGAGCTCGAGACCCCCGTACCGTTAGTTTATCACCAAAACAACGACGAAAAAAGCTATTAAATATGTAAAAAAACAAATAAATAAGTTAGTAAAAACGTTAAAAAAAGCAAAATAAAAAGTTCAAAAGCGAAATAAAAGAAGGTATAAAAGTGAAATAAAAAATATAACAAAGCGAAATAAAAAGAATAAAAAGTCGAAAGAAAGAAAAAGTAAAAAGACGAAAGAAAAGGTTAAAAAAAACGAAATTAAAACAAAAAATGTGAAATAAACAAGTTAATAAAAGCGAAACAAAAAAATTAAAAAATCGAGATATTGAGATAAAAAGTGAAAAATAAAGCAAAATAAAAAAAAATGGGTGAAAAATAAAGCAAAATAAAAAAAAAATGGATGAAAAAAAAAGCGTAGATTAAAAAATATAAAGCGAAGGATACAATTTATAAGAAAAAGAATCCACCAGGGCGACCAAGAAAATTTCGGGTCACGTGCATTACCGATCATCTCCGGCCCGCCGACCGTGACGATG